TATCCAATATATCAAATTTGAAAATTAGATTAACGTGATTAAAACTACTTTTACGGATTTTATCGCGTTTATTTTTTACTTTTTTATTTTTAATTCCCGACGTTTCGGGCGCTTTCCAGCACCCATGGTCACGGGGGACTGAGATGACTGACGTCCCGATGTCATTGTTAAACCCGGAGTACCTTCAGCTTTTTTAATTATTGTTTATGGTCCGATCTATGCAAAATGAACTGACTATGTCCTGAGTTCTTGCAGTGGTATGCTTGGGTTTAGTTTTAATTTTATTGATTATAGGATCCCAAGCAGGTGGTAGTACCCAGCCTCCTTCTCTATTGAAATTAGGATGTTTTTTAATTTCAATAGCCTCACGTATCATCCTTGGTAGGAACCGGTGTTCTTTCGCGAGGATTTGTGGTCTATCAAATCTGATGTAATGGTTGGGGCCGTCTAGGATATGATCACAAACTGCAGACTACCATATGTCAGAGGTGTCACAGACAAGATTGGCTATATCTTGAAGCGAGCTTCTATTAGAACATTCTACAAGCCGCTGAAGAAGATTAGTCAGTACCTACCATCCGTCAAGTGTCATATTCCTCTACAAGATGCAGGAGTGTACAAGCTTGATTGTGAATGTGGTCTCTCTTATATAGGACAAACCAAAAGATCAATTAGGACCCGCGTAAAAGAACATATAGCTGATGTGAAGCATCAACGTTCCGGGAAGTCTGCAGTTTGTGATCATATCCTAGACGGCCCCAACCATTACATCAGATTTGATAGACCACAAATCCTCGCGAAAGAACACCGATTCCTACCAAGGATGATACGTGAGGCTATTGAAATTAAAAAACATCCTAATTTCAATAGAGAAGGAGGCTGGGTACTACCACCTGCTTGGGATCCTATAATCAATAAAATTAAAACTAAACCCAAGCATACCACTGCAAGACCTCAGGACATAGTCAGTTCATTTTGCATAGATCGGACCATAAACAATAATTAAAAAAGCTGAAGGTACTCCGGGTTTAACAATGACATCGGGACGTCAGTCATCTCAGTCCCCCGTGACCATGGGTGCTGGAAAGGGCCCGAAACGTCGGGAATTAAAAATAAAAAGTAAAAAATAAACGCGATAAAATCCGTAAAAGTAGTTTTAATCATGTGCAATGTTCGCGTAAATATAAGAAATCATTAAGTAGATTAACGCTCTATCCGTCGGGCTATTAGGGAGATGACCTCAATCACATTGCGCGGGCATGTCAGTTTTTTTTTGGCGCGTAAGCATACGGAGAATTTTATTCCTCGGAAATGAGACCTAGTTAGATCGATTTTTTCGCCCCCGCAAAATTCTACAATTGTAAATTTCATTAAAACCGTTAGAGCCGTTTTCGAGAACTCGAATACGAAGAAAGAAACAAATTTATAAATGTTAGTTGTTTAATTATATACGATAGGGTAAGTCCGGGGAGTTGGCCGTAAGGAAGAGATGGCCACTAAAAAAAAATCATAGTTACACTTACTAGATGGCACTACTTTCTCGTTAGTTCAATTTGTGCTGTGCGTGGGAACATTTCGCTCCATCTCCGGTGAAAAAAATCGAAAAAGTAAGTAAAATGTACCTACATTTATTTGTATATAGCCTAAAATTTTCAAAGGGTTTACGTTATACATTGTGGTGAAAAGACATCATAAAAAGTAAGTGCTTTTTTTAAGTTAAGTGCTCAGTTAATGACCCACACTTTAACATAATCTCAAAATGGCGCGTGGGTTGTTTATATTTTTCTACAAATAATGTGTGGCCATCTATCCCGGCTGATTAGGAGAGATGGCCATACATAATCGGTATGAGATGACCATAAGGCCATCTCACACCTACCATATATGTAATGCGTAATGGTGAAAGTTATATTATTATAACTTGATATATTTTTCTTTATTTATGGTGCTATTATACTTATTTGGTTTTAGTATTTCATATCACAATATTTTATTTTTAGATGCCAAATAAATACCAAAGAAAATCATGCAGCTCACGAGGGAACTGGAGTGAAGAGTCACTTAAGGCGGCCATGGACGCTGTTAAAAAAAGGTGAAATGACTATCTACGCAGCTTCAATAACCTATCAAGTACCAAGGAAGACCCTCGAAAGGCGATACAAGAAAAATAATGACAAAAAAGGACCAATGGGACCATCCTCTATATTCGGCGAAAAGAATGAGAAGAAACTCGCTAACCATATTAAAACTATGCAAAAAAATGGTTTCCCATTGACTATTAATGACGTCAGAAAGATTGCGTACCAGTTCGCGGAGCAATTGAATTTAAATCACAGATTTAATAGAGAAACTGAGAAAGCAGGATATGACTGGTTGCAAGGTTTTTTACGAAGAAACCACGACATTACATTAAGAAAGTCAGAAGGAGTATCTTTAGCTAGATCAACTGCTATGAATAAACTGGAGGTTGACGCTTACTTTGAGCTTCTTGAAAGCATATTGACAGTAGACGATGGTGTGTTGAAACCGAGTTGTATCTTCAACATGGACGAGACTGATCTTCAGCTTAATAATCGACCAGGGCATGTTCTAGCTGAAAAGGGTACCAAGGCTGTATCTACAGTTACTTCGACTGAAAAGGGAGAAACGATTACAGTTATAGCCTGCTGCAATGCTGAAAGTACATTTTTACCACCTGCCTGTATCATGAAAGGCAAAAACAAAAAACCTGAGTTTGAGGATGGGATGGCACCGGGATCGAAACTTTTCATGTCCCCAAAATCAGCGTACATTACCTCAGATTTATTTATTGAATGGTTGAAAACACATTTTGTTCCGAGGAAACCAGCTGGAAGAGTACTTCTTTTACTAGATGGTCATTCAACTCACTGTAATTCTGTGGAAATGCTGGAATATGCAAAGGACAATGACATCACCTTACTTTCAATGCCAAGCCACACGTCTCACTACCTCCAACCACTAGATCGTACGGTGTTTAAATCATTGAAGACTCATTTTTACGAGCAGTGTCGACTTTGGCTAAAACAAAATCCTGGTCGTCGTATAACACGATTATCATTTGGAAGATTGCTTAATAAGGCGTGGGGAAAGGCAGCTTCTGCAGAGAATGCAATTGCGGGTTTTAAAGCTACAGGTGTCCACCCCTTCAATCCATCTGCAATTCCCGACTACGCGTTTACCCTAGAATTGACAAAACAAATATCTAAATCTCAAAATGAGTGTACAGCCACTGTTATGGTCGAGGAGCAAGAAGAAAATACTATTAACATATCTTCTGCTAATCTAGAACCAGTTCCAAATACTTTCGAAGTGCGACAAGACATATCACCTGCAATCGCTGAGCCAAATAGCTCTGTTGGGCAAATAGTTTTAAACGCAAGTCCTGAGATGATTACAAGAAGGCCTAAAAAATTATTTGCTACTGCTTCAGCAGCAGTAATTAAAAAAATGTCAGAACAATTCCCTCCAAGAAGCGATTTGCCAGATCTGACTCCAACACGCTTAAAAAAAATAGGGAACAAAAAAAAATCAAAAAGACGTTAAAAAGGAAAGAAAAATTGAGATAAAACAAATAAAACGAGCACCAAGAAAGAGAACATCATTAAGAAAGTTATCTGAAAGTAGCGATGAGAATGAAGAACTAATATTATGTAATTCATCTGATGAAGAAGATGGAAACAGAGAATTGGATAACTGTGTAGGTTGTGGAGAAAATTATTACGAAACGCAACTCATCGAAGATTGGATTCAATGCGTTATATGCCAACTGTGGGTACATGAAAATTGCACCGAATTCGATGATAAGTGTTCATCATGTGGACAGAAAAAGAAGAATGAGCTAAGGCTCAAAAACTTAAAGGGAAAAAGTGATTAAAATGTAAATTAACAAACTGGCCATCTCTCCCTTGCTTCTATGGCCATCTCTACCGGGCACTACGGGAGAGATGGCCAATCGTGATTTTAAAAAAAGTAAATTATGAGACTGATTATGTTAAAATGACAAAAAATGTTGTGATTTTCTTAGAGTTTAATGTTGAAAGTTTAATAAAAAGTTGATTTTTGTTAATTAATCCTTGTAGTTTTTATTTTAATGACTTCTTTAAAAACTATGGCCAACTCCCCCGGACTTACCCTATATGTTTGGACATGTACAATGTACATCCGAGTACTATTGTAGGATACTGTATTGTGTAGGCAGTTACATGGCAGCATCCTTTTATAGTCTATATAAGTCTCCCTGCTAGGCACAGACCTACTTTCATTTCTGAAAGGATTTTAAAGAAAATGAATGTCCGGCACGCTGCCTCAATACGTGTTGGCCACAGAAATCTAAGATTTTTTTTTTAATTTCTCAGACATACAGGTTTCTTTCACCGCAAAGCACGTAGTAAATCAACACTTAAAATTGTAATTAACAATGTGGCTGGCGGGGATCGAACTTGGGTTACTCGCGTACTTATAAATATAGTCCCTGAGCTACTACGGCTCTAATGCTTTGTCATTAAAATCATCACATTCTCCCGGGCTTTCTAACAGAGTGCGTATTGTAGCGTGTGTTGTGTACATAAATATTATTTATAATAGTGAATTTACGTTGGCAAAGTGGAAAAGCAATGGCAGAAGGTAAAGCAAGGGCAAAATTATTACTGGAAGCTGGACTGGTTGACTGTCGGTCACCCTATAATAGAGAATCGCGGAAGTGTTGAAGTTGGAAGCGCACTTCTAAGATTTTTGGAGGTAGATCCAAGGTGAGGAGAACACAGACAAAAGAGGGCCATTTATATATAATTTATTACTGGAAGCTGGACTGGTGGACTGTCGGTCACCCTATAATAGAGAATCGCGGAAGTGTTGAAGTTGGAAGCGCACTTCTAAGATTTTTGGACGTAGATCCAAGGTGAGGAGAACACAGACAAAAGAGGGCCATTAGAGCAATATATAATTTAAAACTAAAGAGTCACTGAGACAAAAATTTAAGGAAATTAATATATTAACTCTGGCCTCTCAATACATATATGAAAATGTTATGTACGTACACAAAAATAGAAGTAGTTTTGCGAAAATAAGTGATATTCATTCTGTAAATACTAGGAACATACACAAGCTAGTAGTACCAGTTACTCGACTCCACCGAGTCAGTAATTCATTCTTGCGCTTTTACAACAAAATCCAAGAAAATGTACAAAATTTGTCATACACAAAATTCAAAACCGTTGTTAAACTAAGTTTGTATAAAAAGGGTTATTATAATATTAAGGAATTTATGGATGATAATAACCCCTGGAAAGGGTGATTGCTAACAAGCTATTTCTATATAGTCTTGTGTTGTTTATTGCAAGCATTGCAAATATAAGAAATTCCGAAACTTTGTTGATATTCAAGGAACGTCTTAGAGATAACTACTTTGCATCCTGTTAATTTATATATATATATATATATATATATATATATATATATATATATCATATGTAACTATCGTATTTATTATTATTATTATTTATTGATTTATTTTATTTTTATTTATTGTTTTATTTTATATAATTTCAGTAACATTGTGTATATTATTTATTTTTAGTAGTACTAATGTATGCACCAAGTTTGCAATTTAAATATAATTTCCTTTATGGGTCTACTGGAAGATATTTCAGCGAATTTGGAATAAGTAGAACCTTTGTACGTAATTACTATAAGACTGCTTCTGTACCTTAATGTGTGTACATAAAATAAATTTAAAAAAAAACATTATTGTAAGCTATTATTGGAAAAAAAAAATAGTCCCCGCTGGGTTTCTTGCTGGTTCTTCCCCTGGACAGAGGTTTTGTTTTTTTTTGCGAACCAGTGGTCAATGAAAAAAGTGACTTTCAATAAGTATTGTTATAATCTACATTGAATAAAAAAGTTTCTGTTTCTGTTTCTGTTGTCAAAAACAAAGATCCAAAGAAGAAACAAAGATCTATAAAAAGTTATGATTATATTATGTTAAGGGATGTTTTGTTGATAAAGGGTAGTTAAAAATAATTTTAAGACCACATGTCATTGTTAAACCCGAAGTACCTTCAGCTTTTTTTACCATAAACAATATTTAAAAAAATCTGAAAAACGCATTTACTAAAATCATAAATTCGCACAGTGGATTAAATTAAATCACACGATGCCACGAGTTTATGAGCTTTTATTTTGTTTTAGCCGGCAAATTGTTTATGAGATCGAGGCAATTATTTGGTGGTAAGTCTAATTGTGTTGCGTAAAATTAATAAAACTTTACAAGACTTTATGAATAAAAAGTTGAAACAGATTTAAAAAAAAGAATAAAATCATTTGTAGGTTAAGCTTCTAAAGACGGTTCAAAAATATAGAGTAAGGAAGATTTAAAACCATGACTTCAGAAACTACTATGTGGCAATTATTTTAATCATTTTCAATTTTAAGTCGGCAAATGATAAATAATAAAGTGCTGGCCGTATGAGGACGCTCAAGGTCGCTCAGCGAGCTATGGAGAGGGCTATGCTCGGAGTCTCTCTGCGTGATAGACTCAGAAATTAGGATATACGCAGTAAAACCAGAGTGACCGACATAGCCCAACAGATTAGTAAGCTGAAGTGGCAATGGGCCGGCCATATAGCTCGAAGAACCGATAACCGGTGGGGAAGAAAGGTTCTCGAGTGGCAGCCTCGTACCGGTAGACGTAGTGTAGGGCGAGCCTCCACTAGATGGAGTGACGACCTGGTAAGATATGCAGGAAGTCGATGGATGCAGGTGGCTCAGGACCGTGCTTTGCTTTGTGACATTACTTGAGGAAGGCCTATGTTCAGCAGTGGACTTGTGAATGGCTGTAATGATGATGATGAAATGATTTCTTATATTTACGCGAATACTCCATATTAAATGGAACTAATTTTACGGTTTTTATCTAGGTTAATTTTGACTTTGTTATTTTTTGCATTTCACGGGGACTGATGACTTTGACGTCCATTTATAATAGTTAGCCCGGCTACCTTCAGATTTTGAATATTAATTTTTGGTTCGATAAAATAAATGGGGAAGACATACAAATAACCACAATCCTTTTATATATTATTCTTGGAAATAAAACAGTCAGTTTTGGTGAGAAAACCGATACGTCAGTACCGACAGTCTCGTCAGTCTGAACTGCAGCTGCCTGTCTCGGTTGTCTGTATCGGTTTAAAACTTGTTCTTTACATTTCTTGCCACGCAGATGTTCTCTTAAGCGTCAAAAAAAAACTAATTCATAAATATTTAGAACCATTCTACATTAACGTGCACACGACACGGCTGTCGTGTACTTGGCGGGATTCTGTGCCGTCCGATAGCTTTTACAATACACGGACACCACACCGCTCATTATCAGACGCGTTTTTTTTTTGTAAAATGTGTTTTTTTTTTCTTAACTGGCAGCCCATATTTATTTTGCAGAAGCGCTTTTCATAGTCTACAGAATTAATAGACAACATACATTTTTTCCACATTTATTTTCTCATTCGATTCGTTTTCTACCCGTAGTCAATAGTTTGTAATTAACGTACAGTATGTTAGTGGAAATAAGCCATTTATTGAGCATAACTAAACAAAAAAAAAACCTTAACCATTATGCATTCTATTTGCATTTTTTTTTAATAGGAGAGGGGCAAACGAGCATTTGGCTCACCTGATGGTAAGTGATTACCGTCGTCCAAGAGCAACTGCAACACCAGGGGAATGGAGGATGGGAATTGAGGGGAAACGCAGATGAGTTACCGGCCCTTTAAAAAGGAATAAGCTCTTTTCTTGAAGGTCCCTAAGTCGTATCGGTCCGGAAAAATCTCTGGTGGTAGTTGATTCCACAAAGAAGCGAGGAAGGAAACTTCTTTAAATTTATAAATATTAAAATAAATTTGCATAATGACATTTTTAATTTTATAATTAGATTTTTGCCAAAGGTAAACGTAATACCTACTACTACAGTATATTTTACCAGCCAGCAACAGTCTTACTATTACTAACTGGGACCTCACTAGAAGGGAGGAAATATGCCGGCAATAGGCGTAGCTCCTTTGAATACGCTCCCGTTTTTTCCTCTGGTATATTATATTATAAGAGATGGTTATATTGCCATCTATATGAGGCCATAAGATGTTTCTGACTTTATACAAACGCCTTTTGTGATACCTACGAGACGATATGAGCAGATGAGCAGATGGATTAATTTTCGTCTCCACCACACGGCAAGGCTTAATATTATGAAAAACATTATGATTACTTATAATATTACATAACATCATATAATAATTTGTTTTCTATTTATGAAAAGCTTACATTATCGCGTTTATGAAAGAAAGAGACAGAGATAGATATAGAGTGGGAGAGCAAGACATTTATTTTTTGTATAAAAACTCAAAAGCTAAAAAAATTTTAGAAAATTTCGTAAAATGAAATTTCTTCAAAACGCAGACGACATTTTAACATTTCAACAAAACTTATGGAGCATGCCACCAAAGCCTGGAATAATGTTAGTTTATGGTCCATATGCAACAGTGTGTGAGTTT